TCAAGGAGGCAATCGTTTCAACATGTCAGGAGGTTCTGGGCCAAAAGAAGCACCATCACAAGGAATGGATCACTGTTGGTACACTGGATAAAATTGAAACAAGGAGGAACAAGAAGGTAGCAATCAATATCAGCCGAACAAGAGCAGAAAAAGCCAAGGCACAAGCCGAATACACAGAGGCAAACAAGCAAGTGAAGAGGAGCATCAGGACCGACAAACGTAAATATGTGGAAGATTTAGCGATCACAGCGGAAAAGGCTGCAAGAGAGGGAAACATGAGACAACTGTATGATACAACAAAGAAACTTGCTGGAAATTACCGTCAACCAGAAAGACCAGTGAAAAACAAGGAAGGCAAAGTAATCAACGATATTGAAGAACAACGAAACAGGTGGGTAGAACACTTCAAGGAACTCTTGAATCGACCAGCTCCACTGAACCCACCCAACATCGAAGCAGCACCCACAGACCTCCCAATCGATGTTGGGCCACCAACAATTGAAGAGATCAGCATGGCCATTAGACAAATCAAGAGTGGCAAAGCAGCGGGACCAGACAACATCCCGGCGGAGGCACTGAAAGCAAATGTAACAGCAACTGCCAAGATACTCCACATCCTCTTCAGTAAGATTTGGGACGAAGAACATGTACCAACAGACTGGAAAGAAGGACTTCTCATCAAGATACCAAAGAAAGGCGATCTTAGCAAGTGCGACAACTACAGGGGCATCACTCTCCTCTCAATACCAGGAAAAGTCTTCAACAGAGTATTGTTAAACAGGATGAAGGATTCCGTGGACGCTCAACTTCGAGATCAACAAGCTGGATTTCGTAAGGATAGATCGTGCACAGATCAAATCGCAACTCTACGTATCATTGTGGAACAATCAATCGAATGGAATTCATCACTGTACATCAACTTCATCGACTACGAGAAGGCATTTGATAGCGTGGACAGGACGGCACTATGGAAGCTTCTTCGACACTACGGCGTGCCTGAGAAGATAGTCAACATCATACGGAACTCCTATGATGGACTAAACTGCCAAATCGTCCACGGAGGACAACTCACCGACTCGTTCGAGGTAAAGACCGGTGTTAGGCAAGGTTGCTTACTCTCACCCTTTCTCTTTCTCCTGGTGATCGACTGGATTATGAAGACGTCAACATCTGGAGGAATACACGGGATACAGTGGACAGGCAGGATGCAGCTTGACGATTTAGACTTCGCGGATGATCTGGCTCTTCTATCACAAACGCAACAACAAATGCAGGAGAAAACGACCAGTGTATCAGCTGCCTCAGCAGCAGTAGGTCTCAATATAAACAAAGAGTAAAGCAAGACTCTCCGATACAATACAATATGCACCAATCCAATTACACTTGACGGAGAAGCTTTGGAGGATGTGGAAATCTTTACATATCTGGGCAGTATCATTGATGAACACGGTGGATCAGATGCAGATGTGAGGGCGCGGATCGGCAAAGCAAGAGCAGCATACCTACAACTGAAAAACATCTGGAGCTCAAAACAATTGTCAACCAACACCAAGGTTAGAATTTGCAATACAAATGTCAAGACAGTTCTTCTGTATGGGGCAGAGACGTGGAGAACTACGAAGGCCATTATCCAGAAGATACGAGTGTTTATTAACAGTTGTCTACGCAAGATACTTCGGATCAGATGGCCAGACACTATCAGCAACAAGTTACTGTGGGAGACAAGAAACCAGATTCCAGCCGAAGAAGAAATCAGGAAGAAGCGCTGGAAGTGGATTGGGCACACTTTGAGGAAATCACCCAATTGTGTCACAAGACAAGCCCTCACATGGAATCCTGAAGGTCAAAGGAGAAGAGGAAGACCAAAGAACACATTACGCCGAGAAATTGAGACAGACATGAGAAGAATGAACAAGAACTGGAAAGAACTAGAAAAGAAGGCCCAGGACAGAGTGGGTTGGAGAAAGCTGGTCGGCGGCCTATGCTCCATTGGGAGTAACAGGCGTAAGTAAGTAAGTAAGTGATGTGTTAATGTGAAGAGTATTGATTGAGGTTGTTTTGTTGGTGTGTGTAGCAGTCTGATGTGTCTTGGAGGTATTAGGATGTGGTGTGTGTGTGTGTGTGTGTGTTTGTGTGTATTTGTGGATGTGAGCGAATTGGTTTGTGTGTTGAGTGAATGAGTTGAGTAATTAGTTCGTCGACTGGATTGATTTGTTGATGGAGAGAATGCATGAGAGAGAGATAGAGAGATGGAGAGATTGGATGACTGGTTGAGTGGTGTATTAATTGAATAATTATTGGTGTTGAATTTGGTGGATTGTAGGTGAGGAGACTACTGACACGACGGAAGTGACGACGGAGATCGATATTACGGAGACTGACATTACGGAGACTGAGGTGATGGAGACGGAGAGGACAACAGGTGAGTATGTTAGTTAGTTATTTACTTACTTAGTTAGTTAGTTAGTAAGTTAATTAGTTATTAAGTTGGTTAGTTAGTTGATTGTGTGTATGCAATGTAGACAGTGTTTGTGTGAGATGGGTTTGGGTTAGTTATGAAGAGTTCTGTTGCTATTTTTCGTCTTTTGAAGCACATGCAATCCGCTCTGCTTGTCTTTTTTTCTGTTATTTTTTCGCTTTTATTATGTGTCGCCTGATTTTCCTTAATGCCTCTTTCTTTTTTTTTCTATTAAATCATTTTTTATTCGCAGTATTATTTGGGTTTTGTTTTTTTCGGTGTGGTTTCTTCTTTCCCCCACCTACGTTATTCTATCTTCTGGATAGTCCAATGTCTTCATTCTTTTCAAAACCATTTTTCCCTTTCTATTTTCCGTCACTTTATTAAATTTTGCGACCTCGTTTGTATAAATTGGGTATTTCAACTTCCTCTCTTACTTGTTGAGAAGACTCAGTCACCATACTGATTATTTGCAAATGGGAAATTGCATTATCAACTATTTTCTTAAAAACTCATTTCTGATTTTATTGACAAGACCACTTATCCTAATGCTGTGCTGCAATCAAATATCTACAGTAGTGTTTTCTTCGCAAAGGCTTATAAGCACTTTGAGCTTTATTTGCAGAAAGATATTCAGTTCATAATAAGCAATCTTACCATCTAATTCACTTCATTATTTTATTTTTAACTGACATCGAGATGAGAATTAAATGTTGAGTTGGGTTATGTGGAACAGAAAATGTTAGAATTTGTGTTCAGTCAAACAAACACATGTCGTATGGAATGAATGGAATCAGTAATATTTACATATATCAGAACCCAGTATACATTTTTGAAGTCTCTGTTGACTAATTAATGAAATAGTTTGTTTAGTTTTTCGTTAAATAATAAATACGGTTATGGATATGTCTTAAGTAGTATGTGTGATAAAGCGCTTCACTTGACTGACAATATACTGTACATAATTTTGAATCAAATAATCCGCTAACTGTGATAACTCATTATTCTTGTCTATTGTCAATAACAATTTAAATAAAACATAATACTTCTGGATTACACTTTTCACTGCCACCGAACATTTGAAAAGACAGTCACTTTTTACCAGGAGAAAACCTATGTCAAACACATATCCTGTAACTTTATATGAAACATACTCAACTTATCAGATATGAGTTTCTTGTGATTTCATGACTATTTCTAACACTTGTTATCATGAAAAGACTCATTCAAACAGTGAAAAACTAAGTTCTGTATGAAAGCCATATATATATATATATATATATTTATATAATGTTGGATGATGTACTAAATAGTTATTACATTGATTCAAAGTTCATCTAAGAACAAAAACAACTAACAAATATAAAGAAATAATCTACATAAACTGAGCCTCACCACACCCACTCGACAACGATCTACACAACAACCTCTATTTCCACACCTATGGTCGGCACCTGGCCAACAGCCTCATCATTAATGACATCAACAAAACAAGCGGTGTGGCTAGCACCAGCACTGGACAATCCACACCCATAATGTCAACGCATGTCAGCACGACTGATATTGCTCTGACCAGTGCAGTCACATTGACCACACATTTCATTGGATCCACAGTATCAAAGGAGATAATCTTTATCGCTGATCAACATATTCCGAGTATTCTGTCAATTGTTGTCCTGTCTGATTCTGTGTGTACGCTCACGTCTACAATGCATATATTTTATTCTACTGACTCGATTTATGTTTCCGTTCATGGGATGAATGAAAACGTATTCTCGATCATTTTTACAATGGACACTAGTTCACAAAATGGCATGTTTTATTTCATAGCTCAGTTTAATAAATTCTTCGTCTAACTGTTAATGAGTTTCAGTCATCAGAATAATCAGACATAGGTAATACAAATTTATTTTTGTCTAGCAGTAAGTGATTCCACACTCCGTAATAGTTTCGAAAATTTTATGTAGTTTACTTGAGTTTTTATCATTAACTAAATCACTTGTCTATTTTGATTGATGTCGGATAACAAATACTTCAATATATCTGGTCGTACTAATATCATATTGCAAATTATGACGAGACACATTTGCTGTAAGTTTTTGGTTAATGAAGATTGATTGACAACGTGGTTTCATCCAGTTTATTACACTATCTTATGATAATGAAGAGACGTATTGATGTGATGACAAACTGGCTGATGAGATACGTTTAATTTAGGTCGTATATAGAAATATGTTGAATTCAAAGGCGAATCTACAGAAGCAATTAGAAATTGGAAATCTTTAGAAACAGAACTGATGTGAGCAATAGATTATGTGAAGTGACTGGATTGATGTATTTAGTGATTTAACCTTATACTCACTCCAAATTGTTTGCTCTTGAATTCACGTTTTCATCATTTGTATGCTTAGTTAAATTCAAGTTGCTTTTCTCCTATGTTTTGTGTTTGTGTTTATGCTTGTCCATCTGTGTTGCATGTCACTAAACTCCATGTGTTATTTTAATCAACGTTTTCTTCGTTATCTATTTAAATGTTTTCTAGAAGTCAGCCTCACGAAAACGGCAATAATCAGTAAGTCAAAACCTGATAAAGCAGTTTGTTTTATCACAAAAATTATTTTCTTTATTGGTTGTTTTAATTCGGTTTTCTATTTCATTCATCAGTAAGGTGGTCACAATTGTGTTGCACAAATGGTTGGCTGTTCCTCTTGTTCCTCTTGAAAATTCAGTGTAGCGAAGAGATGTCACAAATAGTACGCTGATATATTGAAATTATTTGTCAACCAGTATTTATTGTTGAGTTGTTCAGGGTCGTCAGGTCGCATTGACCAGACCACCATCTCTGTTAAACCGGAATGATTCACTATCTTTCTAAATGGAACAATCTCATTGTATTCGTATAGAAGCTAACAAGTAGTGATATTTACTGCAACTGTGGAAGTCACGCTATGTTCGTTTGCTGAGCGTCACTCCACTCACAATATTGTCACACTCACTAATAAATGTGTGTGGGTAGACATAAACATTCGATGTAGAATTGCTTATTTTCATAACAAACCAAGAACACATAGCATTCAGTGTACATGGATGTGGGAAATCGAACAACCATCTATTTCATAGTGTCTATCACTTTGGTAGATCATACTCGAATACACTTGGATTCGTGGTGTGGGATTGAAGAGAGGTCGTTCAGTTTTGTTTCGTTTTGAAGCAGTAAGTCAACTGAATATTCTCCTTTCACTGAGAAGTCGTATTTAAATCAATGAACTCTGACTTGTCGGAAACTATTTGAATTCTTTTGTAGCAGTCTCATCAACGCTGACTAGATTGAACAAGCCTTTGGAGTGGAATGACAGTTTATTGGATCCCAATTCCGATTTATATCGAGATTATTCAACTCAAATTTGTGACCTGGTAAGTTTGTTACCTAATTCTCAATTGAGTTTACATGAAAATGAGGAAAACTGATGAAATGTAGAGACAATCTGTGTTTTTGATAAAGGCTTGAAGTTTGACATTTGAAGAGGGTTTTTCGAAATATCAGTAGCTATTTAACAACTCTTTATAGAACACAGAGTACTATTCAACTGTTTGCTCCAACTGTAATGAATGGTAACTGTAGACATTCAAGGTGTTGTTTGGGTAGATTCCATGATCATTGCTTTGTGCAACTGTGGATTTAATTCGTCGTGGCTGATAGCATCCATTCTCCACCATTCACCATGTAGACCATATCTTGTTTTACTCTACACAAACTGATGCAGTCTCAAAACATTCTATTGTCTCCAATCACTATATTGTTATAATCAAGTATAGACGAACGTGCTTATTTTGTTTGATGATGCATAACTTAATTACCATGAGTGGTCAATATGTACTCGCAAGATTCTGTAATGGATCAGTCATTTTGATCTCTAGATTAGGAATTTTAGTGTGACCGAAAATCGAAATATTGTGTTACAAAACTACACCAAACTACTTCCTTGACATTCATACAACAACGCCTTATGCCAGCGAGCTATTTTTGTCTAGCCTAACATGCATACACCACGAGGTAGCCTCACTGAGCTAAGTGGCAGTGTAACACCGTTTGCTGATGCTATAAATTGTGATGTCGCGTCAACTGACAACTGCGACCAAATCATGTCTTTATTCATTGCTGACTATTTTATTGAAAAACTAGAGCTCACACTTCTGTGGCTTGAGATGCTGATTGATATCACGTGATACGATTACCAATCGGAATTCTAACTCTAATTTCTTTTCCATTCCGTGTATAATATTTTCTCGATGACCCAGTGTCCGATCAATGACCGACCACATGTCTGACCCTTACCGTTCACCCTGAGACGATGCAAGCCAGGCTTCTATTTTTCCGCTATTCGTAAGCCCTTCGTTGCACTCTACCTTGAGTCAGAGAGAGAAGTCAACAGACAGCCTCTATCATTCAAGCATACGTGGGTTTATATACAAACGTGCTGGACCACATCACACCACTGAGTGAAAAATCACAACTATACATAGACAAGCCGAAGGTGTTTGGGAATAGAGCGAGCCGTATGTAGTAGACTGGTAACAAACTGGGAGTGGTGAGTTGTCTATCAGTGGTTAACAGGTTAACCAAACGCTTGCGGCTAACTTATTATATAGACACAGCAATCCAGTTACGTAGTATTTATACAACAAAAAGCATAAACGATAATAATAATAATAATAATAACGGTAATATTGATAATGATAATAATAATATTTTACAAATATAACATTCCAATTTAATGTCTTACATCAACTCGGCGCCCAAATACTGTGGGACTATTCTCTCTAAATAAGACGAAAGTTCCCATTAATGATAATAATAATATTCATGATAACAATTCGAAAACCATTTTCGAATGTTCCAACTTTTACAATATTCGTCCCGTTATAACACGCACTATTTTCTTCTCACAAAATCTCCAAGCTTTTGAACAGCATCAATTCAACTTACATCAAGGGAATAATCAATGTCACTTGCACAGTTGTTGGCTTCTCACGTGGATCAGTTATTGGAAATGCGATGCTAGTCATCGATTATAGTAGCACTAGTGAGAACTTTTCATCAACTGTAGTGACAGAAGACACTGTTCGCAATGCGGTTGTGGAATACATAGCAGAAATAGTTGCCAATGGTTCAGATCAAGTACACTTCGGTACATCAAGTGGTTTGACAATAGAAAGTGAGTGCATGTGATTTTTCGAGCTTTATTGAAATTGCATTTTGTGTTTAACGTCAGTTGAACAAACCCGTTTATCCTGTAAGTTGAACGCCATTTTATCGATGCATCTTGGAAATCGATGATGGGTGTGAATCCCACACCGGAATCGAACTTTGTAGGATCCGATTGGTTGTTTCCCACGTTAAATATCGCCTGCACAACAATCAACATGCATGTATGATGTGATCATCTATTGGATGCTCTTAATTTTAGTTCATGAAACTGTTTTGTCCTATTTCAAATTTGTTGTTCTAGAGAGACAATAGAAATCGGTTTTATCCTCAGTTGCTTGTATAGGACCTTTCCATATATGCTGTTTGGCATAGAATTCCGCTTACATTTTAAAGAGTCTTACAGTCGGTGAGATCACAACACCCAACGAGATGGAATGTTCAGCGTTCGATCAACGAGGAAATGGGATTGTTGCCAAGTTTGAAACAGAATTCCACCACTTGCCAACCATCTACAGCGAAATTTTCTCAACTTCATTTACTGTCCAATATCTAGTTGCCTGCTATGGCTAGCAGCTGATCGTAATCAGAATTAATTATCATGTATACGCAGTATTTTGTGACGTGAATAGGTACACGATTCTCTTTGTATTTTCAGCTGTAATCGATGCGGCAACCACCGAGATGATCACTGAATCTCAGGATACCGAAGCTTACAAGACTACGGGTAAGTAAGTGGTTTGCAATATGTTTTGACTCAGTCGATAATATACGTGAGAACCTATGTCTTAAGATTGCGAACTGTACGAGTAAAATACTCTGAATATTCACTTTCGTGAATTGATTCTTCAACCAGTAGTTTTGACTGCAGTATCATTGCAGTAATCTTCCTCAGATAAAAGAATATGGAGTGACAATAAATCAGTTAGAAACATCCAAAATATTATATGTGAGTATTCGCGGTAATGCAGAAATGTTTGGAGTATTTGTAAGGCCCCGATATGACACAAAATTAAAGATGTTACGAGCAATCAGAATATCTGTCTATAAGATAGTACATTTCGAAAGCTAGATATGAACGATTGATTAATCGAATGGTTATATTAAAGACGAATTCAGATGATGTGTGTGTATGAAAACACGTAGTGAAAACAGAGAGTTAAGCTACAAGTAGAAAAAATTAACAAACGCTAAATTACTTCAAGTAGAAAACGATATTTCGGTCAATAAAATAGAGAATCATCCATAATCAAGTTCGAGTTCCACATCATCTGCTTTCATGTCGAAAGTACAAGGAGATTGCTTCAAATAAACACAAATAGTAAATGTTAGAACAATCAATGAACTGACGAAACATCAGTCTTAAAAGAAAATGTGGCCATGTGATGTACATGCAAGGAAGAAACTTCCGGTAGAAACATAGACAAAAAATGAAGTTTGAAAAATCGTTGAACTATATTGAAAATGCAAAGGAAACTGAGCAAAACTAGAAAGGTGACTTTCTGAAAAACACAAGAAAATTAAGAAACAATGAACGATTTAAAAAAAGAGAGAGAAACAACAACGACTGCGACATTCAAAATCTATTTTAAAAAAATAAAAAAAGTAGAAAAAGGGAGATGGGCAACTAAGAAAACTGAAGATATTCAGTGGAAAGAAAACGGCAGAGGTTGACATTTAGATAGAGTAAGATCGCGAAGTGATGACTGGTTGAGTGGCTATATATCATTTGCAATTTTCATCCCTCAAACACAGTTGCTATGCTTTTTGGAAGATATCATTCTTTCATGTTTTATACGCGTTACTGTTCCGAAGATTCTATAGTGTAGAGGCCAATAACCTCTACATCTGACTCCAATAAATAGTATTTCGTTACCTGAGTAATTAACGCACGCTAAATCTCCTAGTTATTTTGTGAGATTCGAACAGTTAATGTAGATAATTACGTTATGAAAACAACTTAATATTGTAGTTTGAATAATCAAAAAAATGTTAGATAGACCACAACAGAAAACCAGGAAGAATAAGACTATTTCTTCATCCTAGTATGAGACTCCCAGGTAATGCATATCCACGAACCCACTGCAACAGATGGAATCCAGATGCTGTCTCGCGTGCAAACGTCTAATTTTCAGTCCACAATTGCAGTATTTATTGGCAAACATTTGCAACTTCAATCACTTCGCAATACTGCAAGTTCATCTTCTATATAAAGGTGTGACTAGGAGATTTCACTCAGGTTAGATGTGAGACGGTTGCCTTGTAGACAGTTAATTCCTCTATATTGAGACCCAATAAATAAATGATATCCCGTGAACTCAATATTTATTGCAGGTTATATCTCCTAGTAATGTTATGAATTTACTCGAGATCATTCAAAATCCCGAACACCAGTTATACAGATAGTTTATTGTTAAAGATCGGTAAAATCCGCAAGCGTGTAGATAGTAAGCACACAGTGAAGACAAGTGAGTATGTGTGTATCAGTGAGTGTTAAAAATCCATATATATTTATGAGTATTAATCGGTTGAAGATAAATTATTGATTGCCTATGTATACAACCAATGAGAGAATAGTAAGCAGAGATGGGACTCGTCAGCTGAAAAGATTCAAACAAACAATACTAAATTAGTTTAAATTTCACCCCATCGCACAAGCAAGTGGCTATCAGGACTCAGTAGCCGAGTGGATAACTCGATGGCGTTTGATGCGAGGGTACTGGGTTCGAGTCCCAGAGTGATCATCAACTCTGAGATGCAGGTACATCCAGCTGACGAGTCCCAAATAGGACGAAACGTGCGTCCTGGATTCCACTGCTACCCACTATCCATCTTTGCTTACCATGCTTGTAAATTTCGGCTATATCGAGGCAATACGCACAGTATGCACGTATGCTAATTAGAGACTGACCAGTTGCAGTCCTAACACATCAATGGGAAGATTCAAACAAACAATACTAAATGAGTTCAATGAGAGAATAGATCAAGATTGATGAGCATACGTGTGCTCAATCAGACTTATACATAAATTAACATAATGGATTAAATGTCTAAATTACAGAGAGTAGACAAATAATAATTTAGTTGAATGAGCTTACTAAAATGGTATTTAAGTAATTTCCAAATAAAAACATATACAATAATTATATTGAACAATTTCATATTGTCTTCACAGAGACAACTGAATTAAGCAAAACAACTTTCAGTACGAAAAGTGAGTCCTTTTTTATTGTTTATACTTTAAATCCTAAATGTATGTCAAAACTCTTAATTAGTCCTGTGTTGACAGGTTAATGTCAAAATTTAAAATGATGATTTCTCATTTAGATCCACATCATTTCACAACATTCGTTCAACCAAGCCATATTGCTAAACTAAGCAAAAATTTTATAAAACTATCAGTAAAATGAAATCAGATTTCAAAGTCGCCTGATAATATTTTGATCATTTCCCATAATTATAACACATTTGCAAATAATTGGTCGACAGATATTTTCATCAATATCACTTGTGGTCATAAATTCTGCTCAGCCATTTTCCGTCCAAGTGACGGGAATTCCCTGAGAGTCTATTACAAATATTCTTTACTCTTCAAGAGGTTGGAAAGAGAATAAGAAAGGTTTTATGAAAAGAATGGTTATGTCGATTGATCTTTACTGATTTATTTAGTTAATAAACTATAAAATAATAGGGTTAGATTTGCTATCTGTTCAAAACTAAGATTGAAATACGAAGAGACACCAGTTAATTGGAAATTATTCAGAAATGTTGTGATGTCTTATAATCTATCGATGACTTTTATCTTATTCAACCGATGGCACGCCAAGCTTCCTCTATTATTTGATTGTTTTACTCTTGTTAATAAAACGTTTTCTCGTAGGTTAACAGAAGGTAGTTTTTTTTAAAGTGTTACGAGATACTAAATAGATGACAATATTTGGTACCAGGAGTTAAAGCTAACATTTTATACAGAAATTTTACTGATAATTTGTAGTGAACAAGAACACGGGTGGGGACAATCGAATGTTTTTAAGCACAAATTACAGACTATCTCACTAAATTCTGATAACCATACAATGAACAGTTAATTTGCAAAATAACAATCAATCAAATATCAGTTCATCTTCTCTAATTCCATTGTTCATGCATTTTCCTACCAATTGCGCTTCATTCCTGTTCGTCCCTTATCGATCTTCTGCCAAAATACATTCTATGTCTGACCATCACCATATACTACTTATATGGATATAAGTAGACCACACCACAATATTACCTAATTTATGAGCTAACATTTTCAATAAATGTTTCTTCAAAATTTATTATTTATGTGAGAAAAAATTAAGATAAATTTAACATTTAAATTGTTATCTGAGGTAAAGATTTAAGGTATGATTTATCAAAATAATGTCAACGTTTTCTAAAATAAACAATGATTACAACTTGCGCTTTAACTTTCATAGAACAATCTTATCAACTTAAACCAGTATTAATATAAACATTTAGGTCGTTTAATTGCTACAATTGTCCCTAAATCATAATATAACATCCAGTTTTTTTAGAAAAGTGTTAAGAATGTTCAATGAGTTTCTCAAGAATACATTAGTTTTAATGCCTGCAAACACTGATTAACCAAACTGAAGATAAATTTTAAGTAATACATTCTCAGTTTTACTGCATTAAATTCAATGATACATCTTAAAGTGCGGTCAACATCATTTTAGGTATACTAGAACTATCAATGACAGTGGAGATTTTAACAGGAAATCAACAAACGAGTTGGAATTCCGAACTGTCTAACAAATTTTCTGGACTTTACAACAGTACTGGTGAAAAAATCTGCACTTTGGTATGCAATCATGTCATTTAGAATGAACGGTTCATTTATTAAATTTATTTATTAAATATGATCATTGCTTTGTATCACATATTATTAACAAACCAATTTTCAGTTGTATCCTCAGTAATTAAGCTTATTTACAAAGCGACTAATGTGATTATACAGCGCAGCATGTAATGAATTTCATAACTAGTACTGAGTTTTAATAACTAGCGAATTTCTGACTTTATAAGCTGAGAGGTCCTATGTATGGTTGATTTTTATCTGATCTTTCAAAAGCCGAGAGAAGTTTATAATTATATATCTGTATAATATGAAGAATAACGTGTTTATTATTTATCTCAGCGATATGATTGTCTACCTGACTGTTAGACATGTTTTCAGATAGGTTAATCGCAAATACTTAGACATTTTTAAACAGGTTAGGAAACCAAACCATCTCAACTACTTCTCTTCATAGGCATTTTAGTCCTGTGTATGAATAAAACAGAGGCAGCGTACTAGAAAATATTGAAATTAGCTTTACGCTCGTTTATTTTAGAACTGTATGCGTGACTGGTCTTTTCTGTAGCCAAGAGACCATTCGTATATCCTAAAAAATTACACAGTTATTCGCAAGATTTAAGTAAGTTGCTCTCATGACTTACAAAAAAACCTATAAAATTACTAATGTATTCGTTGAATTTTAAGGGATATTATTACTTTCCCTAGTTTCACTTGTTAACATTGCTATTAAGGAAGATCCAAGTAGTCTACAATACAAATTCACAATCACTACAAACAATGAAAATACAAATATGGTTTGTAAGGAATGTAATAAGCCTGCTAATTGAATTGATTTAAAGATTCAACATTGTTATTGAACTTGTTTCCAATATTGCTTGACAATCCTCCACTAAGAAGGTCAATGCATTGGCGACTTTAAAAATAATTGTTAAAAGGTCTACGCAGTTTCTTTCAAAAGCAAGGGGTGATGCTTTTCTTTCTTACAATAACCAATTTATTTTTCATTTCATATACACAAAACTTTTGGAAACGAATGAATTCAATTGTTTTAGTGCTATACATTTGAATTTGTAACATAAAATTATTACAGGGTCAAAGTAACTTTACACAAAACACATAAAACTAACATTAACAACCAAATTATAAGTTGATTTCAAAAATTTCAGGAACATAAATAGTTTCCTTTACGCCCAAAATTACCATTATATATAACAGGGGTTTCATATAACATAAGATGTTACGAACTTGTTGAAATTGGTAACAATAACTGTGGAGCTAAATTAACAACATGATGTCAAACGACCCGAAAATGCCTACATAATAAATAAGTTCTCTTCATCTCTTCAATGGCTAATTTATTGTATTTTATTTGTAATAATTTTCAAACAATAATGGTGGATACATTTATGCAAAATCCATAGATGACAAATTCAAAAAGAATCAGATTCATCTTAATAGCTTTCTTCTTCTTCATCATCATCGTCTCACAAGTACATGGATCTGGAGACCACAACCTCTCTAGAAGATTCAGTTGGCAAATATCATTTTAATAATAATTGATTTTGCAAATAAACATCGTGATCGAGACATATTGTAGTGAACAGAACACTAGTTGAGACATTGGAATGCATTTAAGCAAAAATTACAGATTATCTCACTAAATTCTGATAACCATACAATGAACAGTTAATTTGCAAATTAATAACCAATTGTATCAATCTTGACTGTTCCTTCCGCAAATATCAGTTCATCTTCTCTAATTTCATTGTTCATGCATTTTCCTACCAATTGCGCTTCGTTTCAGTTTTTTCCTCATCGGTCTTCTGCCAAAATACATTATATGTCTGACCACCACCATATACTACTTATATGGATATAAGTAGACAACACCACAATATAACCTGTTAATTTTCTACTTATTAAAAAGACTTTCAATATCAGACTATCTAAAACATACATTCTTCATATACTTTTATATTCGAATTTTTATATGTAACCTGTTATAAACATGATTTGTCGACAAAATGTATGCTAAGTAAAATAGGATACATAGATTTTATTAGCACTTTTTGTTATATTAGGCAACAGACATTAAATATTTACTGTATCTTTCTGCTGGTAAATTCCTCTTTGACATACATTGATAAAAGAATTTATTTCAACGCAATATTTCACATAGGTCACCATAAATTTTATTTATCATGCTTTCATCTAATATTTCTCTGCAGATAAAAGCCAGCCCTGGATATATTACATCGGTACCATTCACCGTACCTACTTGTACTGTTCTTCGTTTTTACCCGGGTTCTGTGAAATCTGATGTACAGATAATTGTGGAATATATAAATAACCTCAATGTGACTCAAACACAAATTCTTCAAGCAATTCAGCTGGGTTCACAATTATATATAATGGATCAGTTGAAAAATCAGTCAATCGATTCCAGCCGTATATTATCATTGAAGTGTATGTCCATATCGTTAAAAATTCATTAAGTATAGATAATAATATATATATTCAGCAACACTAATTATCATAACATTAAATGTCGTATGTAGCATAAAAATTTCAATATAAAACCTGTGGTTAATTTGTTGAATATATACTTGATTATTAGTATAGGGTTGTGGAGATTGTTGATTTTTGATTAAGAAAATGAACAGATCAATGTTATAGCACCATTGGAAACTTGGAGACACTGAATGGCCATTTCGTTCTAATATGGGACTTCTCGGCAGTACGCATCCATGATCCTGCACGCGGGATTCAATTTGTTGAGGTTAGACATTAACACCGTTAGATGACGGATAGGTGGTATAAAGGGTAGGCGTTCATTTGAGAGACTGAAGGTCCTGGGTTCTACTCCCGCTTGCGGGATCGTGGATGCACACTGCTAAGTCTCATACTATGATGAAGCAGCCATTCAGTGGTGCTCTAATATACTTAATTTATCAGCCGTATGATAAGTATACCCATAATACATTTAAGTGTGTCTTTTTTGGTATCATTAATTATTTTGATATAATTAATTAGTGTAACCATAATTTATGGACGAACCAATCAGATTTAGGATAATGGGTTTTTTAGTTTGGCGCAAAATTCATTCATCCATTTACCTAAATAGTGCATTGGCATTATAGCTGATGTCAGTTCATCATGAAAACCGTGAATCTAATTTCTAACCCTAACCATCAACTGTAAATGATAATTCTAATTCCTCAGACAGGTTTATAACCATCATTTGGTCCTAGTTAGTAGGTGAACATTCTGAAGGTCACTTTGGCGTCGCTCAAAGGTCGTACATAAATTATAGTCTCACCGATTGGTTACTAACATTTATTCATATATATTTTTCTTAATGTGTCTGACTACTTACCTATTTGTTGTACTAAATGTATGATCATTTAAATTGAATCGGCAACTCACTAAATTATTGGACTGTCAAGTCAATGCACTCAACCACACGACTGATCAATACACCAATTGACACAACATATGATTTACACTACCTTCGAAATTTATGCATTATATGTGTGTATGAAATATATAATTCTTATAGCCAGTTTATATTGTGTAATTAGTTAACTATCTTTATTAACTAATGTCAATCCATTTTTCTTGATTAACCTATTTAGTAATTATGCAAAAAGAAACTTGTAGTACGATCGCAGCAAAATGTTCACCACATGCTCAATGCATCGAGAGATCTGACGGTGCTATTTGTATATGTAATCCAATGTGGATAGATTTAAACGTGCAACAGCCCGGAGAACAGTGTATCAGTACGTTTAGTTACGTAATACCTAGCGTTTCACCTTCCCTTCTTCATCCAAAAAAACTATGATGACAATTAGCACCACTTAAAATCCAAAACTACAAAGTAAATATCTGACGATAATACTACTTATTAATGATAGTAAGAAATTACGCTAAATGATTTCTAAGTAGTCATTGACAGTACATTTTTCAGTCTTTAGTGTGAAGAAAATTATGTAGATCAAGTTTACTTCAACTTGATTCTAATTATTTAATATAAAATAACAGTAAATCAAAATGTTTATTTTTGTAGCAACACAGCAAGTCGTTCATCAGAATTCGGCCGACACTTATGGTTTATTAATCACACATTAGTAAATAATCGATGACCGATCAATATAAACATACTGGCTTTGCAAGAGGTCAATCACGATAGGAATAACTTTTTCCTAAAATATATGACTAAATTAATATGTGCAAAGATGTCACGGATATTCAGGGTTTGTCAACTCTTCGATTTTAGCATCAAGAATCCCAAACCTAGTCAAACCAGAGGTCGGGAATGAAGGAGTTCCAAGATATATTTGGAAGATAGAAAATATGTCGAGAAGTATTTGATCTAAGCTGGTAAGTTGTTGCGAGAGATGTGCAACATGACGTACCCAATGGGGATCTAGTGCGGACGCGTGACCGAATGCCTCCAGCTAGGGTGTGTCCAGTTAAGCTAAGGAGATCAGAATCAATGTCGAAGACTTCCAGCATCTTATAATAGAGTGTCCGAAATCTGATATTAATGCACGGTGTGCTACACACTATCCCACAGCTAACAACTTGAGCGAGAACAAGAGGGTGGATGGGAATGATGTGGACAAATATTTATTTCTATATATACATCTCTACTCCTTAGAAAGCCGATCCATTTATTAGCCAATAATATGAGTCTATCAATTAGGTCACTTAAAATTGTCAAGTAACCTTCACATTGGCTGATTCTGATTAGCTAACCATATTACAAAGTTATTCATTTTTGGTATTCATTCATCGCTACATGAGGAATCCATTTAAATATCTGGGCAAGCATTAGTTTTATCAAGTTTTAAGAAATCTGCTTCCCATAGGTCTCAACAAGCGTAATACTTAGACACAAGATTTCCTGTTGATACAATCTAAAGACTCTTCTCAACTTTTGTTTAAGTTCACTTCAAAATTAGTATTCTCTTTTACTATAATATCAGACTAATTATACATTTCCTTTCGAAATTCTTTTAGCTGGGTATCTTTTGTATCCTAAATTAATAAAGAAGTTACCAACATGAAAAACTGTTATATAAGTACATTTGTTTTGGACATCACTTCACTTTTCATTTCTTACTAGCTGAGTTTCCCGGTAACATTGATATACTGAATTCAGATAACTATATTTCTAATCTGTAGTTGGTTACAGGATTGTTTCTGTATATTTATAAGTTGTGAATAAAATTACCGTTATATACGAAACAGGTTATTGATCTACAAAACCTGGATTCAAATTACAACTCACCTTAAACATCTATTTAGAGAATAACTGGATATTCGTTTAATCGTATCATAAGTTTATAATAATCACCCACAATACCGATAATGCCTGTAAAAAATTACTCACCAAAATCTCGTAAGTAAATCCAAGATAATTTATTATTTACCAACTAATTCATTTTTATTGGTTGCTTAAATCTTCGCATTGACGTTTAGGACTGTAATAATCAGGAGATATATTCAGCTAAGTCCCAAATAGGACGAAATATGCATCCTGTTTCCCACTGGTAGCCACCATTCAACTCTACTTATAATCGTTAGTAAATATCTTAATACTTATCAGCTCATTAGAACTGCATTGAGTAGAAACAAAACACAACTTGAAAAGTCCTTTTGTGCAATATTTGTAATAAAAATAATAAAAGTAAAATCCTGATAACCCTATTTTTAGAAGGAATCTAATGATCTAGGAACATTGTTGGCATATTTGCTAGTTGATTTATTCCCCAAGACTTGTTATGACATCATTGTGTTATTTTAATAATTCTTTTTTTTCAGTAAGTCCAGCTGTAATAGCACTAATTGTCATTGGAACAATTCTAATCATAATAACATTTGCCATAGGACTATACTTTGCTCTTCGTACAGGCCGAAACGGTCAACGTTTTATACATTCATTTGCTTAGCAAATAAATATAATTTGACAATACTAATTGTACAGAGATCTGAAAAGAAAATCTAATCAGTATGTACATTGAATATTCACAATAATTATATTTGTATTATTTGATTGAAAAAAAGGGTCTTCGCTACACATTTCTAGGTTGGAAGCATTTTCTGTAAAAATTTTTACTGAACAAACCTTTATCTTCAATTCATCGGTGTATTTAAAATATGTGTGATATAAACAATCCCATTTCTTTTTGTTGGTTCTGTTTATCAGTTTTTTTTATGCCAATTTCCTTATAGATCTTAATTTTCTTCAATGTTCAAATTCTAATTTGTAGAATCATCATTTGGTTTCTGATTTGTTATCTAATAGTGAAAAACATGCTCTTAAATTTACTTCAATTCTGTATGTAGAAATCTTTGTATTTGTAAAAAAAAAAGTATATACCCTTTTATTATCATTTTTCATAGTTTTACTTATACAATAAAAATCTCTCATTTTTAAAACAAGGTTTAGTATATTTGTTATATCTACTAGTTGTAAGACTGAATAAAACAATTCCTATGAGTAGATATCCTACTATATTAATTTGTCTATTTAATGTAACATGGTAAGAATGATTAACTGAATAAACTTTCAAACACAATATCTTTACCATAAACATGTCAAGATTTCATTTACGTACCTTTGAATAATAAGTATTATTGATATATATCCACAAGCTCAGTCTTTGATGGCCTTCATACTGAAGAAGACTCAGTTTCAGTTTTCTTGTTTTACATGAAAACCTAAGTAATCTATTATTACGTTTCTTACAATCTGTTGAAAGGACTCTCCTTACAAATTAATTAATTGTTTGCTTCGCTTAAAAAGGCATCTGAATGACTTTACAACAATTCAGTAAACAGGAAATTAACTTTAGGACAAGATTCCATCCGCAACATAAAAGTCCTCGTTTTTAAGAAGCTAGTGTGAACTAAATGATTATAACAAAATTATGAGTTGCTTTGTAGTGAAAATTCGAATGATTTTGGAAAGTCCTTATCAATACAAAAAAAGGAAATAAACAACCATTTATTTTCACAGTTAAAATAATCAGACCATTGAAGCTACACCACCATGGAAAACCTGAAAGCACTGCACGGCCGTCTCGTCCTATTGTGGAACTTCTCAGCAGTGTGTATCCACGATCCCGCCCCGCGAGACCCGAACCCAGGACCTACCATTCTCGCGCCCGAGAGCTTAACCACTAAACCACTGAGTCGGCACCCGATGGTGTTAATATCTAACTTCAACCAATTCACGAAGTTGAGCCATTTATTTCTAGGGAAGTTTTAGGACTTGGTTTTTAAAAACTGAATAACGTAAATCCGAAATTCTTATATGTTTCCATTTGAACAACACCATATTCTATGCTATAATCTGCTGAGAATCAGTTCATTCCTTAAATCTTAGTGTGTTGGTGATAAATCAAGTGCCCAGAAAATTCCCATTACACAAGTGAAGATACTATATTCAGCGAAGTATCACTTTTCGACGAATCTACTAATATATATATACCATAATTTCGTAAGATTCGAACAGTTAATGTAGATAATTACGTTATGAAAACAACCTAATATGTGTTTAAATAACCAAACTATGTTAGCTAGACAACCACAGAAAACCAGGAAAATAAGACAATTCTTTCATCCTAGTATGAGACTCCCAGGTAATGCATATCCACGAACCCACTACAACAGATGGAACCCAGATGCTGTCTCGCGTGCGAACGTCTAATTTTCAGTCCACAATTGCAGTATTTATTGGCAAACATTTGCAACTTCAATCCCTTCGCAATACTGCAAGTTCATCTTTAATAGCATGGTGTAACTAGGAGACCACTCAGGTTGTGTGAGACGGTTGCCTTATAGACAGTTAATTCCTCTATATTGAGACCCAATAAATAAATGATATCCCGTGAACTCAATATTTATTGCAGGTTATATCTCCTAGTAATGTTATGAATTTACTCGAGATTATTCAAAATCCCGAACACCAGTTATACAGATAGTTTATTGTTAAAGATCGGTAAAATCCGCAAGCGTGTAGATAGTAAGCACACAGTGAAGACAAGTGAGTATGTGTGTATCAGTGAGTGTTAAAAATCCATATATATTTATGAGTATTAATCGGTTGAAGATAAATTATTGATTGTCTATGTATACAACCAACGAGAGAATAGATCAAGATTGATGAGCATACATGTGCTCAATCAGACTCACACATATATTTATATAGTGGATTAAACGTCTAAATTACAGAGAGCACACAAATAATAAAATAGTTGAATGGGCTTGCTACATTCTACCCCAAATGGTACTACAGTATCGCGAATTGATGAAAGTTAGGCATGTAAAGTACTATATTCTGCCTGTGGCCCAGAGATTAAGCGTCCGCATACGAGACGGAATACCCCGGGTTTCAACTTTCGCAAAGGGGTTTAGAATATGCACTAATTAATCTCATACCAGAATGAAACAGATGTCTAGTGCTTCCTGGTTCTCAATGGTGTTGAGGATACTAGACCCCCAGAAATCAATCGGTAAACGTCTCATTTTTGTAATTTTATTTTGGAAATCTAAATTTCTTGTTCTCGCGCCAATAGCGCCCATTTTTACATCCAGATTGTATCTCTCACTTGGAAGTACAGTAAATGTCATCGTTCGTTTCCTCTTTTATTATGCTATTTTTCGACGTTTCACAAGTTTTATGCTGTGCATATAGACATGAGTTATGTGCTTGCTCGCTCTTGTTTCCGATTGCTTGTAGAATATACCTTACCCTCGGCTGAATCAAGTCTTCACCCTCCAGTTGGCAGGGTTGGGGTGCAGTGAATAGTTTAGCTAGTCCTGTCGTTGTTGCTAATTTTCATTCCTTTCACCGGTTCTAGGTGATATCGTAATCTTTTCAAAAGTAGTACTAGCTAACATCAGTTCGTAATTTAAACTATGATAAATTATATAGTCTCCATAATCCTCTCTATGCCAAGTTAATATTGGTTTATATAAAGTAATGGATAGTAAAAACGTTGTGCAACCTCTACGTGCGCAAGTCAATGGGTGTAAAACTAATAATTTAACATTGAATGAAGAAAGATAGGTAAAATATTTTTGTCGTAACAATGGAGGGTATCAGAAGGATGGAGCGAAATGATACCAAAAACAATTGAGTTATGGGAATATAAAAAAAAAATAATGAAGAGGTGACATTTTCAAATACAAAATATATGAAATAAAAATAAAACAATGATAATAGTTCAATACCACGATACTGACATAAAACATACTTATTTTGTATGCAGTAATAAGGCTTCTTTTCATGGAAAGCTAAAGCTTGTGATGTGCTTTAAAGAGCTGAAGACGAAGAAATCTTATTAAACTTGTACAGACTCGATAACCAACCTTGAACTCAACATGTGGGTTAGCCTAAATGATCAGTTGACTGAATGTTCAAGGATAGAAAAGTAACTTTAATTATTATATAATGATTAATATTATTTTAGGTGATATGTAGCTGAGGAGAATCCATGAAATAATTGGATTCACATCATTCTGCTACGATCACTGTCCCTTCTTCATTTAGATTATTTATAATTAGGACAAACTGTATCAAATAAGTGGTCTAAATAACTGTTCCTAAAATGTACTATTGTTAAACAGGTTTAAATGTCATTTTTGCAAGCCTTTTCCGTTTTTTAAACTTACATGCTTTACGAAATCTGTGAATTTTAACTTATTTAATTCGTTTGAACAGATTTATTTTAATTAGAAAAAATAATTGAAGTTTAACATACAAAGTGTTTATTCCTTAAACTAATTTGAAGGTCAATAATACATGGTATCACTTATCTACCATTCATGCAAAAAAGGTACATTAACATATGATTCAATAAATTAAATTAGTTAGATGAAAGTCTTTGATAAATCAATAAAGTGTGTTCAATCATGTTGAGAAAATGAAAATAGAACTTTTGAAATAACCAATACAAATAATAATTAATATGAGATATTGAGAAGGCTAATTTCA